ATTCACATCTCTGAGGTTTGTAATTCACTGCAAGAAGGGATAGTGAAGAAGGGTAGCACTAGATGTACCCACCAGTTGTCAAGCCCTGGGAAATGGCAGCATCACATAATCAGCATTACTCTCACATAAAGTATCAAGACCGGGTTTTAGTGGCAACTAGAAAAGCTTGAGGCAGAAAACGCTAAGAGCATCAACCATTCCATAATTAACATCTCTTTACAACCATTATGAAAAAATAAAATAGTACCATATTCCAAAAGTTCTAAAAGGAAATAAAAGTGATTTTACTTCTGTCTTGTTGGTCTCAAATCACTCACTTTTTCTCCTGTGGGAGAGGAGGGCTGTTTGGCTCTAGAGCGCTTGATTGCTGCTCTGTTATAAGGATTGTATTCATGCTGGAACTCTCATAGAAGCCGGCGATGCAGGCATATTTGGGTTGTGTTTCAGGTCATGTGCCAGTTTAACACACTGAAATCCTGCTGCTTCACAAACCCAACTCCTTACCTCCAAAGGTGGAGTGTGGCAGTGGCAGCTTCTTCTCCATTATTTTCCTGGACATTTGAGATTTCTGACTATATTAAAAAAAATGTCCACCAGAATATCCACCACCCACTTGCATTTTAAAGTATGTGACTATGTAACCATTTCACACTTATTCCACCTGAACAGTCCACTCCGGGCCAAATTCCAAGAAGATGCCAACACTTATTTTTAGTGTTACCCTACCTCAGCTGTTGGCAAAGAAATATGAATTCTTACTCTAAGACGCTGGAGGGCCTTTTTAAACTAAATGTAGCTCTTTTGAATAGACATCACTGAATCCTGATTGTTTTGTGTTTAGTTACCTTTTCTCTAGGACCAGATCCAAAATGAAATAAAAGAGGTTTCATAGAGCATTTCAACTGAGAACAATGTTTACTCTTCAAGCTCAGGGAAAATTGCCAATAAGGATGCCAAGGACACCTCTACAGCCTTCACTATGTCATTAGAGGGACTCATTTCTAATAAATATGTCCTAGTATAACCAGAACTTTTCTCCTCATGCCCTGTCCCAAACATACTTTGAAACCCATAAGAGGAATCAGTCATTGTTGTCCAACTCTTCACTGAGAAGGTGAGAATTTGCCTGTGAAACATCTCCAGAGTTGGAGCGATCGATACCACAGAGCATAGTCATTATACAATAGCAGAATTACTCCCTTCACAAATTATTTGGAAATATGATCATGGTTCCTACTGAGATAGAAGGGAAGCTGTCATATTTCTAAAAAGCAACACACTGACAGATGAAACAAGAAGAGACGTTTCCACATTGGCAAAGCTGATTCCCTGAAAGGAAGAGCATTGCATCAATCCTTACCTGGCCCTTAATGGGACACCAGGCTGGACAGCAGGTGCAGTCCCCAAGTTCCCCGGGAACTTGGACCTAAACCAAAGTTCCCTTCTGGACTACACCAGTGGGTTTCTTCTCCTTGGAAATCAGGGGAGTTAGGGAGAACAGGCTGCTCTGCACCCAGATTCCACCAAGACACAAGGCTTATATCTGACTGGAGCACTCAAGTTCAGCAGCCTGGAAGACCTCCAGATTCTCTGCATTGTCCAAGGAAGCACAGTCTTCCTGACAGCCCAAATGCAGGCACAGATAGGATGAAATATGCATTTCTGTTTTGTTTATGAAGTTGAACAGATTTAAACCTTGTTTGTAAAAACCACAAATGCTGACTGCACCTCAGTCTTCTGACTCTGGGCAGCTGTAACTAGCAGGTAAACCACATAGAGAGTTCTCTCAAATGGCTGATGAACTTAAAATAGAACACCATAGTCAGTCTTTAAGGCTACACTGACCATGCATTCTAATCATTCTCTAAGCAAAGACGGAAAGATGAAGAACCACCCTTTAGGGCTGGTCAAAGACTGAAGGAGGAGGCAGAAGTGCAGGTGACATATAAATGCTCTACAGTGGTGGCTGTTGACCATTACTGCTCTTATGAGCCATCTGAAGCCTTTTCCAGGTTGTTGCTCTAAGGGACTTCAAGATGTCATATTCCCTCTCCTCTGTTCTCAAGATGGGACTGACTGTGCCAGCATCTTTCCTGAGAGGCAGCAGCCTAACCTTGTTCACTTAAAAAATTATGGAGGCTCTGCTGTCTCCCCAGGTAATCTATCCCTCACATTTCACTGTTACATAACTTAATGTTCCTTTCCTGCAACTTAAGTCCATTAGTTCTTGAGGCTGGAGAACAGCCTGTCCCTTCCATTTTGCAACTATTTCTACGTGTTTGAAAAAGGTTATCGTGTCTCCACTCAGCCTCCTCTACTCCAAACTAAGCAATCACAGCTTCCCAGTTCATCACACAGAAGCCAGGCTGCTGCTGGCTGGTGATAGCTTTCAGTAACTGCTGACTGGGCTGGATTTGCACCAGCAGCCTGTAGGTGAAAGCCTTCAGCAGCTTTAGTTCTCTGAGCCAGGCTGTCCATTCAAAGACATGAAACTTTTTTCTGTAATCCAATACAGTGCATCAGTAAATATGCATTACAGTACAGTAAATTTCTGGAATTTTCTCCATCACATTAGGATATCATAACAAGAAGAAAGGAAAAGACACCTTATTTCACAAAAGTGCATTTTAGGGCCAAACTTAGAACAGGATTCCCAACAGGTCTTGAAGAGTGGAGAGGGAAAATGCAATATATTGTGTTAATACCTTCCCCATTCCACCCCCTCTATCAAGTAAATTAAATGAAATGCATGAACCATGTCTCGGTTGGCAAATGAAACCTGGTATTTGTATTTGCTGCCATGTCTCAGTGTTGTTTTTCATTTTAGACTTTGCACGGTAGTAAAACACTGCAATGCTTTACATTCATTAAGCTTGGGCCCATTTAGTCTGTGCAGGCAAAGCAAGTGCATATATCTCAGACTCATAAAGCATCAGTTCAGAATTACACAGGAAATAAATGAGACTAAGCCAGAAGTCCAATTTCCAGAGTCCAGTTCACTAAAGCTAAACAAGCACCTTAGATAAATATGGCCTATTCTAAATGAAATGTTAGTGTAATTTTGATAACTGTCAATAATTCCTGCATTATGCCTAAATGAGCTTGTCATCCAAGGAGATTGCTGTATGGCTGATCTTAATTTGCTAATAAAAACTGCAGAGAAGAATTTCAGCTAAACTGGAACTATTTGATTCATAAAAGTGCAACAATGCACATTTTAAAGCATTCCTTCCCAGTCCTGGCTCCTGACTGGCTGAAGCCCAAAACCAGTTTGCTCTGCAGCCTGTAAGAAGGCCGCTTTGTTAAGTAAGAACAATGAGTGATTGTCTCTCTAAATCACTATTATTCCTTACCCCATTATAGTTAATTTATTTTTAATCATGTTATATAATAGAAATAAAATCATTGGATTAAGCATATATCTAGCAGTGGGAGCCCATTATCCTTTGACAATGTTCTGTTTCATTGACATTATATCTTCATTGTAGACAGTTTCCTTGCCATCATTAGTCCTAAAATGACTATTGGATTTCAAGGGTTTCTCCCTAATCCATAATAAGATTTACTTGCTAACAGCACAAAACAAAACAAAGATATGCTTCTGTTATTTTACTGCTGTTGAATACTTACTTTAAGCTATTAAGAAAATTCAAGTACAAATTCAGATATTATAAGTATTTAAAGTTTTCCTGCATAATTCTGATTCAAGGGAAAGCCTCAGCAACTTTGAAGCTTTGGATCTTTGTGGCTCTATTTTACTTAAGCAAGCAACAATACTTTGTCAGTTCTTGAATCAAATAAGATCTACTATTTCTTGCACAATGATTTTTTCAGACCAGTTAAAGCAAATCTCAGCACAGTTCATTTTCTCCAGAAATGGCTACAAGGGTTCATCAGATTTCACGTGAAGAAAGAGGCACAAACTTTCCTGCTAAGGTTGCCAGCAATTCCCCTGTGCTAAGTGCTAGCGAGCAGTCAGCACTACCGTTGGGAAGTTAAAAACTCCTTTGGCATGCTGATTCCCATGGGATAATTCAACAGTTATCCATTTGTACAAATGCCAGTCACAGTTAAATCTAAAACTAGATTTGTCCAAACCCTATTAACAGCAGCATAAGAATGCAGCAGGGACCATCCACAGAAAAGAGCCTTTTCTGTTATCTCATAGTTATCTTTGAGGAGGTGGCAGATTTCCCTGTGAAAATTATCCTTATAGATTGCCTCTTATTTAAGGATATGCTGGCACTATCAAGTGGTGCTCTTTTTATGCTGAAATTGCTAGAAACACTTAAGAGTCTTTGCATGACTCTTTCATCTGGGAGAGTAGCTTCAATAGATACCTATTTTCCATATATGTAGACAAGCTGTGACACTTTCACCCATATTGACATAATCCACGTAAGCCATATGGTTTCCATTAAGAAGGGTCCATATAATATAGTCAATTCTCCATTATCTTGGCTAATAGGAGAATAGAATAACCCAGATAAAGGAAGGACATGCATAATTATTGCTTCCAGATAAGAGCTGGCTCAAATATTTCTGCACTGTGCTCCCCAGACAGAGCTTGTACATCTGTCAGAGCTTGACAACTTAGAGTTTATTAACTCAGGCGTTACCTGCATCCATCCAATATAAGCAAGGCAGTTTGGGTGTCTCCATGATTTAATCACTCCACAAGTATTCTACTAACTGAAAATAATTTTGTCTATAATTAAATAACAGCTTCCATATTCACCGTTTTATATGTTCTGATACTAATACAGCATAGACCCAGTCATGCATAGACAAGTCAAGGTTGAATGGGGAATAATGAGGAAAAGTAAATTATGCATGAATTGCAAGAGGAGTACGTTCAAAACACAAGGGAATGCACAAGGCACACAGTGATGGAGAAGGGCCTGTGGAATTATCGTATTCTCAGACAGCACTCGCAGAGGAAGCATGCTCAGGACTGTCACAGGTAGCAAGTGTGAATCAGAACTATCTTTCTACGTGAATTGTCAGAGGTTTCTTTTTTATTGTGTTGCAATTACTCAGCCACACTGAACTTTTGTCAGTTGAGAGTTCTCATAACGTGTAATCTCCGAGACCTTTTAGTACCAATACACAGCCTTCCTGATCTCAGCACTGGTACACAAATTGTATTGTTCAGTCACAAGAGACACTCAGTTCTGTTACAGATATATGGACAAAACAGTGTCTTTACCACCATAGAAAGAAATACAGATTCTCTTACAAAGAAAACAAAAGTGTCACAAATAATTTTTTCTGGATTCTTATGGAAGGAAAGGAATTATAAAGAAATAGACTTAATGAAATCAACAACATCATTTCTTAAACATTGAAGTGAATCATCTTACGGAAACGAAACCATTGCCAGTCAAATTTTTAATGGTATACTTGTACATGGCATCGTGTTGAGGAACTGATGATTATATTCTGCCACATTCCGTGTTGCATTTACAAATTAGCATTGCCTTGGTTTGTCTGCACATTACATCTAGACAGAGGTACACAACAATGCAAGACACAGGCCGAGCTGTAGAGGGAAAACTGATGGGTAAGAGAAGTTAGCCATCTCATGTGATGTAACTGGCTACAGAAAGAGCAACTGAGAGTAAATCACAGTGCCAGACATATCAAATCCCTAAATATCTGTTCATTTTGCTTAAAGCATCACATACAGTGTTCAGATCGCTGCGGAGGTCTTGGACAACATTTTCTATACTCCTGGTATCCTTCAGAATCTCAACGCTTTGCGTATATGGATTGAAATACACAGAGAAGGGACGATTGATTGATTTGGCAAAGTCCCTGAAAGAAAAAAGAAAATTAACATAACTTTTTTTTGAACTGCTAAAGAAAAGAAAATTGGATTTTTGAGTCAGGGGAAATAATTTACCTCATCTTTTCTTTGGCTTCTTCAAAACTTTCTGAAACAAAGTAAGCCTCCTGGAAAGTAGTGATAAGGCATTCTTGCAAACAGGTTGTCTTTGGATCGAATGCTTTCACATTGGCCTTGTCAGAGAGAGCATGCTGCAAAATATACCACAGGACCTGTTAAACTGTGTTTTGATACTGCTGTGTGTCTACATACAACTGTTCATATATACAGCTTTTATATCGCTGTGCTGTATATTTCCCATGAGCTGGTAGCCCCTCTTGTTTTACTACAATGTTTTTTTCAGTTTGACTAGTGAACATGGTGAATTTGCTACTTAAAAGAGCTCTTTCTATGGAAAAATTTTTTTCCCCTAATAATGAAATAATAAGGAGGAGATTAGAAATGCACCTGCCATGAAGATATACAGATGTAAATGTTCAGCTGGAAACAGGAAAGTCATCAAATAACCATTCTTGAAACATTATCTGTACAACTGCAAATACGTATGTCCCCAAAATGTCATTTAACTGGTAGAATTCATCATTGTCTTGATGGGTAAATTGAGTCTCAACAAGCAGTTCATACAATCTGTGCTTTACATTTTCAGGACAGCATCATATACTATTTTCCTGACAGCGAAAGTGAAACTATATATCTGAAAACCCATTAAATAATGCCAGTGTATTGCATAGTGATGAAATGCACTGCCCTTCTGCCACATACACCTGAGCAATAATGCTCCATATAGTACTGCAAAAAAATAGCTAAACAGACACAGCTAACTACAGGGCAGACACTGGGCAGATGAGGCATCAAATGCTGCTACTCAGAATAGAGATTTCTGATTAGATTTCTCTTTAAATGACTTGCACAGGCCACTAGAAGGACACGAAGGTTTCAAAACTGGAAAGCAGGTACTGAGACATTTTCCAACACAATCTTTTCTAGCTCCCCTTTCGACTTGAATACTTGTGTTAGCTTTTGGACCTACCTTATCTTCCAGAGCATACATATTTTCATTCTCAGTGCTCTGTTATGGCAGTGCAAGGTAAGGAAGAAGAGCATATTTAGGTCACCTTTCAACCTTCTTTAGTCCCCTTATATCTATACACAGTGGAAGATGTGCATGAAAAGCATAAAGAAATGACAGTGAGGAAGCAGATCCCTGAGGTCCAAAGGTGTCTCTGATTTCTTTACTTTCTATCTGCATGGACATTCTTTATAGTAGAGTAAGGTATTAACCACAACTTTTATGCATGCTCTTGCTTATGCTCATTCCTAAATCCCTATGAAAGGCACTGAAAATATCACATCAGCTCTCAACCTGCAGTCTCCAAATAACAGGACAGAAAACTGGAACAAGAGCCTCTTCCTCCCACCTCCTCTCTCTCCAAAAATAAATACATGAAAAATTAATGTATGGAATCATGAAATGTCAGAGAATTACCTTTCTTTAGTGCATGTATCTTTTCCTTCTCACAAAGTTTGCTGTTTCTAGCCAGCCATCAGTTGAACAGGTTTGAAAACAAATATTCAAAATGGTCGGTCAACCAGCATTCTCTTCTAAATGGACTGCAGATCAGGCTCACCTTATTAGGCTACTGCCTATATCCCTGTTGTCACTTTCTCTTTGCAGAGCCACCATACCAGTGAATGCCTGTAAATTTAGGCACTTACCTCCTTCTATCAAAATGAATTTGCTTTTCTTCACTGAAAATTATAATAGATTCCCTGGGAGGTTAACTATAGATTAATAAAATCTCCTCTTAAGGTGTCTTTGTACTTCCAGGTGAGACTTGATGCCTCAAATGTCTAAAGCACAAAGTTTTAAAACTCTGACAGGACTGAGTGAAGCCCTATGCCTGGAATCAAGATTATGATACAGGCCATGATTTCTTAGGAACTGAATCAGTAGGTGACCGCTTCTGGCTTATGGATTCTTTCTTGTACTGTGAAAGCTTCAACAGAAGGGTTGACAGTGTTATCTTCTCTACTTACTAATGGCCTCTGCCAGGCCAAGTCTAGTCTTTGGGACTGAAGCCATCAGAGACGAGAAGGGATTTAGCCTGTGGCTCCTACATCATGAACAACTCCTCTAGTCACTGAGCCCTGATTTTATAAAAGGAGAAAGTTTAAAGAGGAGGAAAAGCTGATTAGTTATCACAGGGGACATCCTCTGAGAAAGCCTTTCTAGCTATTCTCCTCAGATTAACCATATGAAATGACTCATACACTCTGGATTCCAGTCTAGTTTACACATGAGCAGAGCTGTTGCTTCACAAAGCAATTCTGCAGAGACTGGGATGTGAAGACACCAAAGAATGTGCAACCTGGAAACAGAGGGTAAAGAATTCAGACATGCCTTCAAAGTTAGGTGACAACTGATCAGTTCTTCTTAAGATTGCAGTTTGGGAATGAAGTGCCTAAATTCCGATGAATTCCCACCTGAGTCACCTGTCTCCCTTCTAGGACATAGTCTTCGGCTCTTGGATCAATTAGGCATTGTCATGGCTACCAAAGCAATGTTTCCACCTTTGCAAGTCTGGATGGTGCTTTCAAATTCCACAATCTGGCATCTGTAACATCTGCTATTGAGTTGATACACTGACACCAGCAATGCAAGACTTCAGCAACTGACCTGAGCCTGCAGACAAACCTTCAGAGGGATCATAAACTGTTTAGTGTAAACTAGAAGGGTCAGGACACTGACTCAAAGCTGACTATAGCATTTTACAGAAACATTACAGTGTTCTAAAATGTTGGTCCTTGGCACTCTCAACATTATGAAGTACATAATCTCAACAAAAAAACTTGGTCTGGTGAGTCCAAAAGCTTTCAAGTTCATGCTATTCACTTATGGTTTGGTTGGACATTCAGTTCTTCAGTGAATTCAAATGAGAAAGTAGATTTCTCCAACAGAAACCTCTTTTGTTATCCCCCTCCAATGAGATGTCAGGGCTAATACAAGGAAAATAGGTTTTGGTAAAATAGAGCATCTTACCATCTTGTGGATCTGTAATAACTGTCCCTAATGGCCCATTCATATGAATCATATAACTGCTTATGCCAATAAAACTACTGGTGATTCTCCTTCCATTCGAGAAACAAGAATTTGGAGTGAAACTTCCAAATTAATCATCACTGATTCTGAGGAAAAGCAGCAGTATCAGACAACTGGACAGCTTAAGAATTAAACCATTACTCATTACAGGTCTCTCGGGTCTAGGTTGTCTGATGCATTGTACAGAAGATGGAAGATATAGCACAAGATCTAAAGAAGACTTACATGTTTTTGCAGTGGTAGCCGGTCAGAAATACTGGAGCATGTCAGATGGCACCAGGCATTTACACACTGCACAACAGTGAATCATTTCTTAAGTGACCACTATCACTGACACATGAAAAAAGTTTGGTCTTGTAATTTCTCTTGAGTATAAAAATTGGGGTGTAACAATACAACCCAGAGCTTTTCAGAATTGAGAAAAAATAAACAAAACAAACCCCAAAAAGTAAAAGTTTCAGCCAGCAAGGGGAAAACTTGAGTTGAGAAGTTGTGTGTGTACCAGTACTGATTTTATCGTCTTGTTATTCCTGGTAGAGTACACATAGTCTTGGAAAACCCTGCTCTTAAATGTTTTCCTGCTTATCTACAACCTAAGTTGCAAATCTGACAGTGTCCTGATATTACCAGAAATTCTTTTTCAGTGGTACAATTTTATATATTGTCTAGACAAATAAGTAAAAGACTTTCTAAAGAGTACTAAAATGAACATCTGGGATCCAGGAGTTGTTTTCTTCATCCTCTTCAGAAAACCGAGCCAAAATTTGCATTTGAATCTTTTTGGTGCTAAAGGCTAATGCTGGCTCTTCTTAAAATAAACGATCATTAAAACAAAATAATACAACTATATATTGTATTCGACCTTAAAAATTTATACAGAAAGATTTGAAGACTACCTCTCCGTTTAATATAGAAGCATACAACAGGGATATATGACTTGATCTACAGCCAACTGAAATGGATAGGAGACTCCTTTAATGAAAGAGTTCAAGAGAGCATCATACAAAGTAAATGGATTAAAATTTCCAAAGACATTTGAACTGCCTTTTAGAAATAGTTTTAATAATTGAAATGTACATTATTTCCACCTTATCTCTAAGCCCCAAATACATACTGTGTAATAGTGTTAGCTAGAGTTAACCTGACTATATTAAGCAGAAATTTTATAACTACTTACTGTATTATTCGTTTCCCCCAGGCTTCATTTTTAATCTTCTCTTTCTCCTTATTTTGTTGTGCTTTCCAAGTTTTTTTTACTTGATGCTTCCCTAGCATGCACATCAGGAAATGCACTTTTCAGTATCTGAAATTCTAACTCTAAGTACTGAGTGGGGAAAAAAATTTGAAGGGAATCCTATATTGATAGGTTGGTGCCCACATTTCTCTAGCTTTTACAGTTCTTCATTACTAAAACTGTTGACCAGATTTGCAGAGTGAAGCAGTGTAATACAGAAACAGAGAAGACTGAACAAGCCATTCACTGCACTGAAAGGACCAAATACTGCTGACCACCCTGCAAACAGTGTGGCTCATTCATTTCTAGAAATTATACATAAAATTGGTCACCATGTTATTTCCTGTGAATACCACTGCATTGAAAAGAGAGCTGATGGGGAGAGCAGTTGGAGAAAGCCTTTTCTTCTTGCCCTCAAAAGCATATTAATAACAAATGCCTCTGCAGTCTCGAATGCACCCTCAGTAAATTTGGAGACAAGACCAAGCTGGCATTATTGTTCTGCTGGAGGACAGGAAGGCTCTGCAGAGGGATCTGGATAGGATGAATTGATGGGCCAAGGCCAATCGTTTAGGTTCAAAAAGGCCAAGTGCCAGGTCCTGCACTTGGGTCACAACAATCCTATGCAGAGATAGAGGCTTGGGGGAGAGTAACTGGAAAGTGGCCCAGCAGAAAAAGACCTGGGGGTGCTGGTTAACAGCAGCTGAATATGAGCCAGTAGCATGCCCTGGTGGCCAAGAAGCCCAATGGCATCCTGGATTGTATCAGCAATAGCATGGCCAGCAGGACCAGGGCAGTGACTGTCCCCCCGCACTCAGCACTGAGGCCACACCTCGAGTTCTGTGTTCAGTTTTGGGCCCCTCACTACAAAAAGGACATTATGGCACTGGAGCATGTCCAGAGAAGGACAGTGCTGAGGTACCTGAGGTTGTTTAGCCTGGAGAAGAGGCGGCTCAGGGGAGACCTTATCACTCTCTCCAAGTACCTGACAGGAGGTTGTACTGAGGTGAGGGTAAGTCTTTTCTCCTGAGTAGCAAGTGACAGGACAATTGGAAATGGCCTCAAGTTGCGCCAGGTGAGGTTTAGACTGGATATTAGGAAAAATTTCTTCACTGAAATGGTTGCCAAATATTGGAATAGGCTGCCCAGGAAAGTGCTTGAGTCACCAATCCTGGAGGTATTTAAAAGATGTGTGGATATGGCAACTTGAGGACATGGTTTAGTGGTACTTGACAGTGCTGGGTTGACGGTTGGATTCAAGGATCTTAAAGGCCTTTTCCAATCTAAACTATTCTGTGATTCTATAAAGTCAAGGTATAAAAATTCAAAACTGAAACAAGATCTGTCTTCCTAGTGACAAGGATACTTAAGTATTTGAACTTCTTCACAGAAGTGACTGTGAGCCCACAATCACCCTGTCTTAAGAACGGCGGTAATTATTTCTGAAATATTTTCACTCTGACACCTATGAGAAGTACGTGTGTTGCACACACAAGGGTGAGGCTTCCTGGCCATGCAATCTGACTCTCCTATTCATCCCCACTCACCACTGAAATAGCTGGTATTGTCATCATTTTCAGAACAATTGCTGCCATCCATTAGGATTTTGGTTATAATCAGGATATTGATATAATCAGTATCTCCAGAACAGTCTATTAGCATGATTTTTCAGAAACTTTCAGATGAAAGAAGACATTTTCCCTCCCGATAGGTGCTAAGAGAAAAGGCTAGTAAGGGAGGCTGCTTTCCCACAAAACAGCAGAGACTGGCAATGGCTTGATGCAAGGCTGTGCACCGAAGTCATGGGTGCCCAGACATTCTCCTACCTAAGCACCTGCCTGATGTATCTTGTTGACAAGAAGCACATTCATGCCCATGAATGTGGTCTAGAAACAGCTTCTCCCATGGTCACTTTAGCAGAAAACTTAGTCATTTTTTGCAATTTTTTCCTTACCTTTTACCTTCTTTTCTACTCTGGGGCACAGTCCCACAAAGGCTTTCTGGACATTTTTCACCTTATCAGGCCCTTCATGGAGACTATGTCTACTTGTGGTATAGTGCTGTTCTGTTCCCACAATACACAAATTTTCAGTAACCAAAATGTCTCATTTAAGTCTCTAAGCATATGCACAATCTGGTGAAATTTAATATCTTATGATACACAAGAGATCAAACCAAATGGTCTAATAGTCCCTTCAGGCATCATATCTACAAGATATATATGTAGAGTAATAGAAAAGTATATAATGTTACTGATTTATGGCAAAATTACTATTTTATATATATATATGGCCATACCTTTGAAGAAGATCAATATAGTCCATTAATGGGCAAATTATTTAATTTATACTGTTGCTTTTCAAAAGGATTATTCTTTGCACTTAAACTCTGAGATTATTGTTGAGCAAAGAATACGGACCTGGGATCACAAATGTGTGATACCAAAATATGCACACTTGACAAGAATAATGTGTTTATTTATAACAGTGATGGTAGAAGACTTATTATGTTCTTGACTATCCATTTCCTCATTTTTATGCCCTTAGATTTTGTAAATTATGTGACAGGTATTTTCAGGGTCATAACCTAGCAACTATATCTCTTAGTTTAAATAAAAGGCCTGATTCTCTGCAAAATACTGCACAGAGTTTGGGGCTCAGCACTGAATGTTGCTAGGCCAGATGAAAACAAGCAGGACATGTTCATCTCTTTGCATTTAACCATCTTTGCGCTGTGAGTATAGAATATTGCCAGGCAGATAGGGAATGCTTCTTTGGCTGAAGTATGCACAGAACTCAGAGCATCTCTAGTGCAGCCAAGGAAAAAATACTGGAAAAGGTAATTTTCTTCAACCTTTTTCCTTCTACTGAAAGAACAGCAGTTTGACTAAGGAGCTTCACCACAAATACTCTGTTATAGGTGAAATAAACAGCAAAAAGAGACTGGGGTATTTCTATTAATCTGCCAGACAGTTCACTGAAAGCCAGCCCAGGAGGCTGGGAAGATGTTTTAACACAAATAAACAATAGATATATTGCAAAATAGTTTGAAATACTATTCCATATATGCTTTTGAAAAACAAATATTTACCTGCAAAGCCACCAAGAGGTCATTTGGGTCCCTGAAAATAGTACTCTTACCTCTCTTTACCCTTCCCTCCCATCTTGCCAACAGAGAGATGTACTAAGTCTCAAAATACTACATTTGTGACAAAATACCTTTTGCTTGTTTCCCATGTTTTGTAGGCATAAAAAAGGCAATAAATCATCTGCTACAACTAATCACACCATGCAAGGTTAAACAGTTTCACCTTTATAAGAATAGGGCTCTATGTATTGTCTAACAGGCAAGTCTAGCATGAGTTTATACACATTCCTTAATTGTAAATATGAATAATCTACTGAATGGACCTTAATGAATGTTGGTTTTTTCATATCAATAATGAATCCATTCAAATACACTGGATTACTTACAACACAATCATGTCTGATTTCTAACACTTTATTGTGGGTGTTAAAAATATATGCTTCTCATCCAAACAAAGCTTTTAGAGGCCCAAGGCAACCTTACCTGCTAGAAACCATAAGCCTCCTTTTACAAGAAATGAAAATTCAAACAGAAATAAGTTTTGTAGTTTATAGTTGTTTTGGTACTTTGGGACTTACAAGTCCGTTTCATGCTTCAAGTGCCAGCTGATACTTTTAACAAAGCTTTTAGGTCAATACCACATTTTAAGTATCAGCTTTTTATCTTGAGAATTTTAACTGTTATTTGAGAGTCAATATATCTATATCCAACTATTATTTTGTTAAGATTAAAGGTTGATTCTGCTTTAATGGTACATACCTTTAATTCTCCAATAGAAGACAGAAGTCCTGCCCCATAAGCGCGTAGTTGTCCTTCTTGCTTGCAAAGGCCAAATTCAATCGTAAAAAAATAGCACTGTAAAATATACAGATATTCACATACATATAGTGTAGTTGCAAATGGGCACTTAAGCAATGACAATCAGTACCATATTCATTCACTTGCCCCACTTCTTCAGGATTACCTGTCTTGAATATAAACTCAGATACAGTACATTATTACTGCCAAGTAATTTAAATGTCATGTTCTGCAGTAAGGGAGCTTTGAACAAAAATGTGAGATTCTGCTTTTTTTCTGGGCAACCAAGCAGTTCCCAGGAATGGCCAGTTAGGAATGGACAAGCAAGATCATTTAGGTATCAAATGCATTGATAGGAATCTGCAGAGATTTATGAAACCTTCTGAAACAAATGAGATGACTTAAAATAAAATTCTGCAAGGAAGTCAGTCCGACTGTCTAGGAACCTCCCAAGATCTCCGGGATCTAGTTCAGTTTTACACTCAAGCTGATACCCCTTTAAAGTCTGCAACATAGTGAATTTACTTAAACACGTGTGCGTAGGAGCCTTCTTGAGTTCAGGCCTTAGTCTTCACTAGATTTTACTCTGTCATAAATGTCTGTCATAAATGAAGAACTAATATGGCATTTGGCTTCTTAAATTACAGAAAGAAAATTATAGTCAGTCAAATGAGTTTACTTGACCAATCCATTGCAGTTGTTTTTTAGGTCTACATTCAATCAGGTAACATATCTGAGCTGTAAAATTGATGAGAAGCTGTGAAAGAGATATGCTAACTGAGAATAATATTGTGGTATTTAACTTTGCTGTAGCCACCCAACAAAGTTAAACGTTAGGAAGACCTTAAGAAGCACAGATAGCCCACTGTCCACTAAATGCAGAAGATGACTCATCTTCTGAGTTTTAGTTTGGTTTTGTTATGAGACATCGAGATTGCTTTTTGATATTAGATCAAACAGTTGAGATTAAGATAGTAACTATTTCTACATATAAAGGTTTTAGGAAGCTGATTTCTAACTTACATGAAAATATTGCACATATATACACACACATCTGTACATACTTGAGTTTTTTACATTATCTGACAATTTCAGGTTTTGTGTAAAGAGACATAACTTCACTGAACCTAGCAGATTTAATTGTCTTTGCAGGAAACATGAATTTAAGACAAGAAGCAACCCAGTATTTTGTACTAAATCTTGAATTTTTCAAATAACTTAAGAATGGATCCTAACACAATGATCTTTTCCCATACAGGTCCTCCTTAATACCCCACTCTTCCAGTATTTAGCATACTAAATGTAAAAGAGTAGAAATTAACACCTCTTTTAAGTTCAATAAATGTTTAGAAATTCAGAAATTATTAACTGCTTTGCCGCATCAAAGTTTCTGCAGAGCTAGTGATTCATGCAGCATGGCACTGTGCAGAAGGATGTAATGAAAGAAAAAATAAAAACATGAGCCCTGTGTCTGATCCAAACCTGCTAAGTCAGTTGAGAAGAAGAATCAGTTGCAGAAATTTCAAATGTTTTAAGTCAGATTCCATCGCAGCAGTCAAAGGCACAGACATCCACAAGGGGAGGTGAAAACACAACATCATCAAAGAGAACCAAAAAAAAAATCAAATATCCACCTCTGGCTTTGCTATTGACACAGCTAAGTCAAGCTGGCATAAAATTTTTCAGTATATGCAATGAGCTAATGTCCCCACTTAGAAGAAGACAACTCATTTCCAAAAATGTCATCTCAGGGACAAAACACCAGGTACACAAAATGACAAAGGTATTGCTGTAGGAGCAATGAGTGAAGCTGAGAGACCTACCACCAAGAGTACAAACGCCGCTTTCCTGCCTAAATATTTTGCCAGAAAAACCTTCAGGAGGCAACAGTCCTTGTTCTCTACATGCTGACACTGTCAGCAATGAACTACTCAGCTTTACACTTAAATCTCATCTTTGAATTTGCCCCCTCCTTCCCAACTCCTTTAAAGGAACCCATCAGGCCATATGCTGTAAACATAAACATTCTGACAGATACACAGCAGGATTTGGCTCCCAATAAAACACAGTGATCATGCTCATTTTCATTCTTAAAAGCAACAGTGGCTAAAAAGTCTAGTGTTTGTTGAAGACCTGTAAGAGCAGCCATGACTTTGTCCCCATATGTGAGACACCTTTCCTGTCGACCTTTCTCAGGTTGAGGAAGACAAAATCAATGTCATGCTGGTCCCTGGAGAAAGTCCAATGCCCACTTAGCAATCTATAGGACCAGAGGAGCAAGGGAAGAGAAACATTCTCCACTCCCCTGAGGATGTGTGCTCCAGGGAATGAAAGGGGCAGAAGGCAGAGAGCTAACACAGCCACAGGAGAGAGCAATCCCTGCTGTCCAGGGTGAATGGGTATCCTGTTCGCAAGACAGAGAGACCTAAATTCCACTTCCTCCTTGAGCTTCTTTTACTTTAGTTCAAAAATTATTATAATCGTTACTATTATAAAAGGGAGTTATATTTATGAGCCAACGCTTGCTGATGAGAGCCAAACTTTATTATTTACAAGACTTGTAATCGCAGTATAACCAACCCAAGTAAAACACATACAAAATGGCAATACATCTGCCTACTACTAACTTGTGGCATCCAACTATAGCACTGAGAAAAGCCCTTCAAAAGAAAAGCTGATTTTTTTATAAATTTGCCATATGGAGCAATTACAATTTACTATTTAAGAGAGTTCTGCTTAGCCAAGAAAATGCGATAGTTCACCCAATGCTGCCATCTTCAGATCATTAGTAAGTGATACACGATTCCTCCCACCTTCCCACTCACAGACATGCAGAGATGGCTCAGTGCATCAACAGAGTTTGCAGGCTCAGTAAGCTGTGCTCTCAAGTCTACAAACATCAAGGCATACTGATAAGGAGGTTAAATACTAACTATATAGAGCCACTTTTCATAGACCAGACACAGAGATACCCACTAGATGCCTCTCTTTGTATGGTAAACCACAATTGTGTTACTCTATATTTACACACAGGATAACCATTTTGGAGTGGGAATGACTGAACAAAGAAATGGCTGTTGAGATAAATACATTTTTTAAAGCCTCACCTGAAGACAAAAACTGGGTATTACACTGTTGTTACAAATAGGCTGATGAATGCAAGCACAAATGGGGGCATCCAGGTTCTCCTGTTCTGATTTCAAATCTTGGACCTGTCTCTGGCATACTTCCTAGACTGCGGCCCCAGACATTTGGCTCCACTACAAACTACAGCAATATCCTGTCATCTGCCTTTACATTCAGTTCTACCTCATCTTTGGGGTGAAGTGTGGGTTTGCTACAACCTATAGAGAGGCTCTTGAAGTTTCTGTAGTTTTTGAAGAGCCTTACACTAAAGTGCTCATCTTGTCCAGGAGCTGCTTTATGCTGATGACGCCGCCCTTGTTGCCCACACAGAAGTAGCTCTGCAGCGTTTAACATCCTGCTTTGCAGATGCTGCTGAGCTCTTTGGGCTGGGAGTCAGCTTAAAGAAGTTCTCTATCAACCTGCACCTCAAGGAGTCTTCCTTCCTCCCCATATCACCACTGGCAAATCAGTGCTCAGTTGAATCAGTCCAGCAGTTTAATTACCTAGGCAGTCTCATCTCCTCGGATGGTAAGATTGATGGAGAGATAGAGAACAGGTTAGCAAAGGCATACAGTGCCTTCGGAAAGCTTCATAAAAGAGTTTG